CAGAAGAACTAAAGGTATACTTGTTCATTATATGCTGGTTTCACTGTTCCTAGCGTACAATTAAATTTACTAACATGAATACTAACAAAAATATAACGTTCACATTTCATATTTTCTGATTCCTGTCCCTCTCGATCTCAGGCTCAGCTCGCTGAAAAAACAACGTTGCTGAGCGAGGCTCGACTGAGAGAGCAGCAGTTTGTTGAAAGAGTGAGTATCGGACCCCCTTGGTGGCTCTTTCTGAGGACACCAAATCCATCGCAGTGTATTCCCAGGATTCTGTGGCCTCCAGCAAGAGCAGCTACTGCTCTCCTGCTGCATCAACTTAATTACACAGCACATCTGTTTACATTTGCTTTAACCCCATAAACAATCACAACAACGCCTCCAACAGCTTTTCTCACACACACCATCGTTCTCACAAGCATCCTGCCCTCCTCTGAGGATGGCCACCAAAATGCTTATGTCCTATTTAGCAATTACTCTAATGCATAGAATTAACCCACTGGGTTAAAGAGTTTTTAAATAATCTGCACATGCTTGTTTGTTTCTCCACGCTAGATTCACTCGCTCGAGGACAAGATTAAATGTTTCCACCGAAACACTGTTGTAACTCATCTCGGGAGCACATTTAAAGGTAACACCATGAATCACTTAGTTCTGCTTCTTGATCCAATTTCCTTATAGATTTTCACAGCAGAGATGACATGCGTAACGCTTGAGCACAGCCCAGTCTCATGGGAAAGCGTAACGTATGTTGTGTGGACTCTGTAGGGGCGGAAAAAGGGCCACCTAACCTTTTTTAGTGTAATAAAGGATTTTAAAGACAGACCATGTGATTATATTTTGTGTCAACATGTGAAAGTTACCGTAAAAGTGTAGCTGCTCTTTAAGATCTCAGTTGGTGTTTTGACACTGCCTAATCTGACAGTTAACACACTGCTTCAGAGATCAGGCAGGAGGTGCAGGTCCTCAGCAGTGTGTGCCGGACTGCTTTAGCTATGCTTTTGATTATGGTTTAGCTAGCAAAGCAGGATTTTTAGGCTTGCTGGTAAAGATAAGAGCTGGGGTTATAATTAAAGCTAGACTACGGGTTGAGGGTGTATATGTATACGTGTGGTTTAGGCTGAGGGAAACCTCTGGAGATTGACCGTAAGTCAGTGCAGTCTCCAAGTATACCACGACCCAACTGCGTTTCATCTGTGTGAGAGTATTTGGAGAGATTGAGTGAGTCCTCTCGGACCTTCTCTGGTGCTGTAATAAAGAGAATCTGCTGTATAAGCGGGGGGGCGGTGAAGAAGCCATGCTTAGATTTAATGGATTTTGCAGATTGTGGCCTAAACGTTTCCTACGCAGGACACTGCAGCACGCAGATTTCTCGAACCTTTCTTATCCAGTACATATATATTGCTCATATTCATATTTAAAGCCGCTGATGACTCAGTTGAGCTTACGTAAACCACCTTGAGTTGTATTTTTAGGTAGGAAATTGATCAGAAAGCTGTTGAAATCTGCTTTCCTGTGTGGTTGATGTGAAAGTTGTCCTAGGTGGGGCAACACAGGGTCAGGGGGACAAAGGGCATGGGATTTATTGGTGACCCATTACTCCACACCAGAGATCAAAGACTTGTTTGCACTGCTCTATCACCTTTTCCTGTACTCTAATCGCACAGTCCTTCTGGGCACATTCAGGCACATTTGAGGATGTTTGAGTGATTATTTCCAATAGGCACAAAGCGACTGGATGTTGTTCCATAATAAAGCTCTTTTCTTCAGTCATGAAAGTGTTAGCAGCCCTGTCCAAGTTGTAACTCAGTCGTTTCCATTCATAGCTTTTAGTGGGATAATTGTGTTATAGCTTTGGGTGCAGACCTAAAAACTTGTGTGATATTAAAGTGCTCATGCTGAGTCTCACCATTCTTTCCTGTACTCAGCTTTAGTGCATAATTTAAACTGTGCAAAAGGTGGTTTTGAATTTGCTTGCCAACATAAACCTGATGCTGTTAGTTGGGGGGGGGTTGTGTGCATTTTCCAGGATTGTTGTACTTTAAAACGACATAAAAACGACCTACATACACTAACATGCAGCTCTCACAGCTGTGTTTTAGTTTTTTTTGTGGTAACTGTATTGAGGTTGGATTTTTCTCCTTAACCAAGGAAATATAAGCAAAGTGGCAACCTAGAGTAGCTGATGTGTAGTCATATTTAATACATTTGAGGTCATTACAGATGTTGAAATAATGGGATTTGAAAGACATTAAAGAAAGAGAAGTTTGACAGTTGTGGTCATCGTGAAATATTTGATTTGTTGTTTTTGCTTGTTGTTACAGATCCTGGACTCAACATTTCCGACGCCTTCTCAGAACCCACAGAGATGGAGTACCTGAGGAAGGTGCTGTTTGAATACATGATGGGACGTGAAACAAAAGTATGTTCTGGTTTTTATTTTTTTTATAAAAAGATTCTACAGGAAGAAAAAAACCAATAGTTTTTATAATTAATCTTTTTCTCATTTTTATGTCTCCATCTTAGTTGGCTGAGAAAACATTAGCTGCTGCTTTGATGGTCTATTAGATGAGATGATTCAAAACCACCATATAAAAAAAAAGTTGCTGATAATTTTTATTTTTAAAGCTGGTGACCTCCATCTGCTACTCATTTAGGAAGCTATATAAAACTCATGTTGTGTCCAGTCTTGTTGGATGTAATTAACAGCGATCTCCCTAATTATCAGTGCTGTTGACATGGTCCTAAAGTCAGCGGGAGTTTCCCAGCTCCTCAACAAACACTCTTTATAACAACATGGCAGACCTCCCCCGTGCGGAGGATGTCCGGCGGGCTGCCCGCGAGCTCATACATCTTGCATGACGCAGATTTGCCATTTAAAGGCATGCTGGCCTTGTTTAGTGTTAGCTGAGTAGTTGGGTTCCCTACACAGCCCAGGAGCCCTGTTTCTGATTATCCTCTGTGTTTATAGGGAAATGCATGCTCCCTGGCAGATAGGCCTGGAGTTGATTATGCAGATAATTTTCATTCTTGTTGAGCCTTTTCTTGCGCTTCAGTTGTCTCAGAACAAGCTTGATTTTGATTGGATGATGGTGTCAAAGGCAGAGGTTAGCTGGGGGAAAAAACAGAGATTATACTAACACCACAGATGACTCCTGCCTTGAAAGTAAACTGACTTAAAAAGATGACGATCGGGGTGTCAGTCAGAAAAATTCCCCTTTTTTCCACAGACAATGGCCAAAGTGATTACCTCCATGCTCAAGTTTCCTCCTGACCAAGCTCAAAAGGTTTTGGACAAAGAAGACTCGAAACCAATTGTAAGAATCTTTTTACAACTTGGGGATGTTTAAATGAGGTCAAATGTGTATCAGGATTTGAACTAATTTCATATCCGTCTCTTCCACAGCCTTGGTTACGATGAGTGTTTGAATGATTCGGGTACTTCTGGATCTGCTGCTACTGCTGCTGAAGGGGGAAGACTGCCATTATCTGTTTGCATTTCTTGTCATTTTATTCATGTGTGTGTTTGAGAAAGAGAAAAGCGTGTGTGTGCGTTATGTGTGAATGCTCAACAGGTATGAGGGAATAAGAGAATTTGACAGAAACACCTTTTTTTTTTTTTTTTCCCATAAACCGTGTTTTTCTTTGAAGTTAAGTTTAATTTATAAGTTTTAGATGAGAGTAAATGGGTTTCCTTTTATTTTAGAATGTGTTTATAAAGATTGGCTTGTGCAATAAATTATATTATCATCACATGGATGCCGACGGTCAGTTGATTTGTAGATCTCTGTGTTGTGCTGTTGTCTGAATCACTTCCTCTGTAAAACTGTAAACGACCCTTTAACTGTGCACTCGCACCACATTAAGATACAGGCCCCTGGACCTCTTTAACACAGCTTTTCTATGCTTTGTATTTTGACACTGACAGAAACAAAACTGTAAATTGTATTATGATAATAAAAACTGTACTATAAGGCGCTATATGACTTGCTATACAGTTTTCTTTTTCAGAGTAACATTAAATCCTATTTACAGAACAACTTTTGTCACTCCTTTATCCTCATCACAATACAGAATTTTGTTTTGTAGCTTATCTAATTACCTGTCTTTGCATTACTCCCAGTGTCTGACTGAGGACTGTTAACACCTGGTTAAAAAGACTGAATGAAAACAACAAATCTGGGTTTACAGATCTCTCACTCTACTTTGCCTGACCTTTATTCTTTTTCTCCACATTAGAAGTCAAGACAACACACAAGTATATTAGACCACTGACACTTTCATGTAATGAGAATCTGAAAGAAATTTGCTGTTGATTCTGTATATGGACACATTTAAGGATCTGCCTGTTCCTTATATGTATACATTTACAGACATTAAATTAAATGTGGCATGAGCAAATGTCCTAAATCACTTTTAGAAATGTGTTTAAAGATTGCTTACTTTTAACTTCAATTAAAAAATGGCATATCACCAACTCCAAATGTATGTTGCAAATGGAATTGGCAACTCATAAATGACATGCTGTATGTTTAAAGTCAGAGTTAATGATTCCCAGAAGATTATCTCCAAATACATCAGCTGATTTTCCAACTGGCCTTTCAGCAAACTGCACATGATTTGTTGTGTAGAGTTCTCAACATGCAAAGCAGTGAATACATAAAAATAGGAGCAGAGTGCAGAAAACAAGTTTACAGACCCAGCTTGTAACAAACAGCTGGATACAGAGGTCAGTTTATCAGTTTATATGCTGATTGGACATACTATTTGTTAATCAGTATATGTATCTAAAAGCCTGTTGCACAAGTAATGCACTGCAAAACAGCAGTTCCCAGACTAGTATAGATAAAACTGATAAATGAAAGAAATGCAGAAAAGTTAAAATGATTTTTCCAGATGATTCTTCAGTCTTTGCGTTTTCTTTTGCTTTTATTTGACTTTTGAGTTCGGTTTGAGTTTGAATGATTTTAATAAAGAATCCTCAATAAGTAACAGTCAATAAGATGGAAATGAAACCTGTAACTTTTAAAAATGATGAAGCTGTCACTGTTCAACGTGACGGGAAAACGTCAGGGGGCAGCAGTGCGCCCTCATCCCTCGGTTTTGGAGAATCCAAAGCCCCCCAGAGCCCACGGGTGAAATGTGATGCTTTCTAAACCATTCTCGTTTCTCCGTGACCACGTTACCAGCGTCCCTGGACCACAATAAGAAAAAAAAACTCATTCCGGCTGCTCCTTTCACGCTAAAACCTCGACTTTTCTTCTAACGTCAGAACTGTGATTAAACCAAACAGCGATGCTCTTATTTTAAGTAGAACTTCCCTTACTTCCAGGAAATCTTTCACTAACTTGACAGCTGACTGCATTTATCTCAGCGACAGCCAGCCTGCGAGCGAGAACCTCCTCAGATTGACACAGAATGGAGAGAAGCTGACGCACCGTTATTTACCGGAACGTTAACTTTTCCGTTGCGACTCTTTCCTCATGCCATCACAGTCTACATGCTCTGCAAGACCCGGAAAATACTTGAAAGATAGCTTATAACAGTTTGCCCACTGAATAGCTCACTACTCCTTATTGGCTTTTTCTGTCCCTCACTTTTATTGTTATTTTTATTTTTGGGGAAACTACTGCGTTATTACGCACGATGCGCAAAGGGATGGCTCCTCCGCGGAGATACAGGACGGGAGTGCGGAATATTTTTTATGTTTATCTCTCCATTTCAATGGCTTATTCTTACAACATAGACTTAGAACATCCTTTGGTGTTCCGCGGACCAAATTCTAGTTTTTTCGGCTATTCTGTGCTGGAGCATTATCACGACAACACACGCTGGTGAGTCCCATTTTGCATTTTCCGACAGCGATGCAATGGATTTGTGTTTTTGTCGTAGAAGTTTAAATGTCTCTTGAGTCCAACTTGCATCCACACCCAGATACTTAAAAGTACTTGTAACAGCCCGCACTATTTGCATTCCAAATTCACTGCCTGCAATAGGATTTCCCATTTTTAGGTGTCAGTAATGTATTAAAGAGATGTATGTTAAAGTGTTCTGGGGGGGTTAAAAAAAAAGCATAACTGTGTCCTTCCTCTCATTTCTTGTCGTGGATGCAGGGTAATAGTCGGGGCACCAAAGGCAAACTCTTCCTACAGTAGCTCTGTGCAGTCTCCCGGAGCTCTATATAAGTGTCGAGTTCACAGCAACCCTGATCGCCGCTGCACAGAGATGGATCTGGGAAGAGGTCAGTCACACAAACCCACAGCATCCATACAAACACCACACAATGCTGAAGCAGGCAATGCATTCGGTCATACACACAGGTTATAACAGAATCGTTTATTTTATATATATTAAAAAAAAAAAAAAAAAAAAAACACTACCCGGTGCTGTCCTCCTGCTACTACTGATTTGTTGCATAAACTCCCCCACGCCTCTGTTTTGTTTAACCAGAATAACGAAGTCGTATATTGCTGCTAACACTGTGCGCTGTTGTACTTTTAGCCCATAACTTACTATATCGAGACATGAAAAAAAAGACAAGTGGGTTCTGTGTGCAGAGGTGTATAAATATTTTGATAAATATGATTTATGCCTTTGCTAATATTTTCCAAGCAAGTGAGCCAAAAGCTGGGGCTTCGACCCCCACCCCCCTATCCCCCCTCCTGCTCTGTTCCTGCGGTTAAGAAAGACGGGGTGCATGCATGGCTTCAGTATGAACCCCATTCTTGGTCACTGTGTAACCAAAAGATATCTACATATGACTGAAACACAGTGACACAGAGAAACTCTTCTGTGTTCCCAATTTACTGGATTCATTGTTGAAATGAAGAATGATGCTTACAACTGATATGCAACATAGATATTTATCTTTTTGTAACTTTATTCTACTGCTGATCTTAATTTGCTTACCCTGGATCCATGATCCTTACGATGTTCTTGTTCAGGATTTCAAACCTCTAATACCAATAAAGCATTCAGATTACTGTTTTTTTTTTTTTAAATTTTATTAATTTTTATCATAAACTCATTTGCTTTTATATTAAGCTGCATGTCCTCTTGATTTTTCCATTCAAAGTTTGATTTCCTATTTCTGTGCTGATGGTTCCTGAACCTGCTAACTGCTAACTGCTGACTGACCAAATTGTCAATGAATTTTGTAAACATGTTATAATTAATAAATGAAAGCAAGCAGTACTGGTTGTGATCAGTCTTTAACTTTAAAGCAAAACACCAGCTCTCCTCAATAAACTTGAGGTAAAAGGCTTTCTCAAGTTATTTTACTTTTTTAACTTGCTTTTTAACTCATTTTCATTCAGTTCTTGCACCTGACTGTGTTTTTGTTTTTTTACTTGTTGAACCACTTTACACTGAGCTATGAATCACTCAAGCAAAAGGCACGTAACTCAGGAGATGAATCAGTGCTGTGTCTGTACATCGCATGCAGCTTATCAAAGAATCCATTTTAAAGTGTATCTTTTAATAACTTGTTTCAATGTTTCAATAAATGTTGAACCTATTTCTCATTTTCCTCATAAAAATGTAAAAAAAAGAAAAAAAGAAGAAGGACGGCTTGAGACTTTTGCGTTTTTGAGTAGTGAGGGTCGTTCCGAACATCTTAGAGGACTCGCCAAAGCTCTTCTGTGGATTTAGGCTTTCTCGTCATGACAGCTTAAATCCATGTAATCCCAAGCTGACTTGGGATGTTGAGATCAGAGGCATGTGGAGGCCATACCATGTGCTGGTAGATGTTGCTGGTGAAGACAGATCTTTGTGACTCTGAGTGCACGTCTGCGGTTGCCATGCTGTAGAATGAATTTGGGACCAATCTGACGCCTCACCAGTGATAGCCAAGGATAAGAATCAAAATAGTGCCTGAAACCTTTACACATGACTGTTTCTTGGTTAGAAAGCTCGTTCAGAGATCTGGAGCTGCGGCAGTCAATGGATCAGATAGTCACTTAAAGGAATTTGAACTGCAACAGTTGACAAATTAATCATTTGATTGTTCAAGCACTGCAAATTTGAGGATTTGTTTACCGTCTGTGTTTCCACATCATAATGACCTTGTATTGTAACATTACCGGTCGATTAAGAAAATAATGAAAATGGTACACTCAATGCCATTGACTATCTGTAGAGGAATCATCGTTAAATATGCTAGACTTAGACTTTTTTTCCATCTCCAGTTTTTGAAACGGTCAGCTGTGTGATAATCACTTGCAGAATCTGCAGAAAGTGAAGAGTAAATACCGGATCTCTAAAAGCTGACACTTGACAAGTCGCCCACTCCAAAAGGTCCTCCCTCCTGTGACTCAATGTCTGCAAACTGCTCCCATTGTCTTTCAGGAAACAGGCAGAGAGAGTCGTGTGGGAAGACTTGCCAAGGAGACAGAGATGATGAGTGGATGGGGGTCAGCCTGGCCCGCCAGGACAGCGCCAACGGCAAAATCCTGGTGAGCAGAGGGACAGAACACAACAGTCGTTTCTGCAAATTGCTTAATTCAAGCCATGTTTTAAAAACAGCCCCGATTATGCCAGCATCATTGCAACAAATGTGTCACCATTAACCACACTGTTACACCACAGCAGCTCTCACCACTGTGGTCTTTCTTAAGAGAAGACAACTTCTTCTTTCTGTGTACTTGTTACATTCTTACTAACTTTTAGTGCCATAAATTTAAAAAAAAATGAAGAATTTAAATAAATGAATCTGAATGATTTTCTATTCAAAAGTGGAGTAACATCAGCTGGAATCGACTGTGTGGTTACATAATTCTGTGAAACATTCACCTCGTGTGTGGAGCTGGAAGAGTCACTGGAACAGGTTTTTTTTTTAAATAAAAAAAGCAGACTGTTAGTTAAAACAAAAGAAAGGAGAACCTGGTTTAGAGGATTCAAATGGTGCTAATCCCAGGGGCGCTTTGCTAAGTGTTTGCACAAAGATCATAGGGCAGCTGGCAAAGTTTGTTTAGGCTTCAGCCCCTCTGCGGCGGTCCCATCCAAGAGCGGCTTTTCATTAAATATTAACCCCCCGCCTCCTGCGGTGGGCAGCGCGGAAACTAGTGGCAATGCAGGAGAGTTTGAAGGCATCAGGTGGGTGGGCAGCTCTCTCATGTTTGAATACCTGTTGCTCAAAGACATCCCGATAACTTTTCATCCATCCAAACCTCTCCGGTCCATTTCTTTAATACCTCACTGGAATGTACTGGCACAATTTTCAAACCAATACCTTTGGCTTTACCCATCAGTGAAAATGTGAAGACTTCTTGGAGCTGTCAGCGTTGGGAATTTGAGCTTAGCGTTGTATAACAACACACCGAGTAGCTGCACACTCTCTGGCCATTAGGTCGAGGCTTATGATAAAATAAAGGTGGTGGCTTTCCAGAGCCACGTGTTGCTGGGCCTCTTTTTTTTCCTTTTTTTCTTCTTTTTAAAAATCTCATCTGAATGAACTCATGAAGGGAAACGGCTGTTTGGCAGATGTGTACAGTGGTGATTTCATCTGCGCTTTCAGTGGAGGCCTTTTTGTTTGTGACCAGCGAGGTCTTTTAAAACTGAACAGGAACATGACAACAGCACAGATTCCATACTCCAACCATGAAATTCTCAGTTGCTGCGGAGCGTGTCAGCTGCCTTTTTGCTATGTTTATATCAGCTGATGGATCTTAAAAAAGAAAAAAAATCTGCTTCTACTCAAGAGGGAGAGTTTATACTGATATTGTTACTTCTGTTGGCCAAGTTTTCCTTCGAAACACAAGGGTTTTTCAACGTAGCATCTTGCTTCCAGACAGTCATCTGATGCGTTTTGTATGCCCACAATCTGCCAAGCTCTTGTTTTCACTGAGACTGGCTATGTCTGTGTGTTTTTGGAGTTAGGGAGGGTGGGTTCTTTTGGGGAGGGAAATGAAGTGGACTCTGTGTGCACAGAGGCATCCAAAGCTGTCCCCAGAGCCACAGGGGCTCCACCACCATTCCCCCCAGGGTCCTAAATTATTACCACATTTACACATTTATGTGGCCTCTTTTGTGCAAAATTTGTAAAATCTGCTCTGTATTCCTTTTGCTTACCAAACACTTGGCCGTTATATTTTTGAAAAACACAGTGGAAAGTATTGTTTGGAGAATTACCCCCTGTACCGTTCATGCACTCCACTTTTCCACAGCAGTTTAATGCAGGAGAAGTTTGCTTCTTTGTCTTTTGATCCACTTTATTTTTTCGCTGCGTGTGCTTTTCTGAACTTTTGGCCTCCCTGTCTCTCTCACTCGCAAAAACCCGGAGGAGCCGTCCTGAAATTAAAACTTTTAAAACGCACAGTCATTGATGTGAACATTTTCTCTCTTGAGCGTTCAAATGCTGCATGGGAAAGACAGATCTCGAGATATTCACACCACAGACCATGGCTGTTATGGTCAGGGTTATGGATGGGCTTTAATTCCCCCTCTCATTGACGATCATTTGACAGCCACAGAGACGCGCTGACTCCAGGCCGGCGAGAAAAAGGGGGCTTCAGTCGTCACTGCTGATCAACGCCTGCCTGGAGTTTGAGCTGTTTGTGTTTACGGAAATGCGTATGTGTTGTTCACTAATGCTCACTTGTTCACTCTCACAGGCTTGTGCTCACCGCTGGAAAAACGTCTTCTACGAGTCAGAGCATATCCTTCCGCATGGATACTGCTCCATCATTCCCCCAACGCTCCAGCATGGGACAAAACCACTTATCCCCTGTTATGAAGGTATAGTACAAGCAAAATCACAGCACTCATGTTGTTGGGGCTTTTCTTTATTTTAAATCATTCTGAATTGGGGCGAGAGAGCTTGTCACTGAATTCCAGAAGCTTAATCAACTAAATCCATCTGAAATCAAAGCGTAGACTTTGGTTATGACCTTAGCGTGTTCCATCATTTTTTTGTGTCTGGAAAGTACCAGAAAAACAACCCTGAAAGCCACTCAGAAAGTCCAGACCTTTGCCAATCTGCTGCCAAAACTGCATAAGTGTCTTGATATTTTTACAACACAGTCTGGATCTGCACCAGCAATCAACCCATTTCTCCTCAGCTAATGCTTCATTCCAAGTTTCATGAAAATCAGATTGGTAGCTTTTCATAACCCTGCTGAAAAAATGACTAACCAACCAATGGCGGAGGCACATGACCTTCTTGGTTGAGTTTATAAAATGTAGGTTTAATAATGAAGTCCAAGTATGGTTTTAGACTTCTCTTTACTTTTACTCTTGGCTCTTTATGATGACAAAAAGAGGAGGGAGGAATCCTATATCAGGGGCTTGTGAGGGGCAGCCAATCAAAGGAAAGGTGGCTCACAGGGAAAGAGAAGGGAGCTTGTTTCAAAGAGAGGCTGCACAGAGGCTTACTATAAGTTAAATATGGAATATTCTGAGCTGTCAATCATGTAAAGGTACGCTTATACACTTATAGTTAAAATGAAAATCAAGGTCTATATAAAAAACTGGTGAGGTCTGACCCATAGAGTGCCAGGGGACACTGAGACGGCAGAACTCAGTGGTGCCACAGCTAGTGAGATACTCTCTAGTTTTTATTTCAGATCCCTTTAATAATTTAACATCCCTTTAGATAATCCACACAGACTGTGGGACTCTGTAAGAGGCCCAGGCTCCCAGGTTTGGAATAACCGGTTTGTTTTGTTCGTCCTTTCCCTTTTACATATTTTCACGGCACATTATTTCTGTAGCCAGGAACGTCACTGTAAAAGCCCCACGTCTGCCTCTGATTTCTGATTGGTGTCCTGGCACCGGGGAACGGTAGTGGGCGAGCCCTAAAGTGTGATTTCTCTCCCTCAAGTTCAACTTTGGCAAGAGCCAGCTGCGGCTACGAAAGGACACCCAGTTTGCGAAGCCAAATATACGAGCATTTGACCTGTGGAAGTGCAGAGTTTGTCTTCCGTTTTGCACCACTTAGCCAAAGAAAATTATTTTCACAAAGGTATAGTGCTGGCAAATTTATTGAAGCGGTCTTACGATGCAGATTTTGGCTTAACGTCGCCGAAATCAGGTGCTTTTAAGCAAAGATTTGCTCAAGTTAGAGAAATTCAATTTTGTTATGATTGCAGTAAATCAAATCCATTTGTCCTGCAGGTTATTTTAGTGCGGGCGCCCGCTACAACACTAAAAATGAAGTTCCATTTGAAAAATAATGTGCTGTAAAGCATTTAATGGCCACTCTTGTAAATGTGTTCTTCACATGTTTTGTTATGTGACTCAGAGCTACTTATGAAAGCCTGGTTTACACCTTAATCATGCTCCCAGGTCAGGATTTCACTTCCTTTGGTGACTCATGTTGCCAGCAGTTGCGGGGAGAGAGGCCAGACACACTTTGCATGGGACCATATTTACAGTGCATTTTGTGCCGATCCAAGCTCAATATTTTCGTAACCTGAGAGTGCATGTGAGAGGTCGTTTCATTGAATGTGGTGTTGCACCCCTTCTTTCAGTCTGCTTTCTGCCCCCAGACTCTTCTTGGATGGGACCGGGACTTTGACTAGCTCCATATGGAATGCAGGAAAAACTCCAGTAAACGCTGGCTCAGGCACACAGTGAAATAATTTGTGGTTTGTTTTCTCTTACAGACTATAAGCAGAAGTATGGGGAAGAGCATGGCTCGTGCCAAGCTGGGATAGCGGGAGTTTTTACGGAGGTCAGTAACAGTGCTTGTTCATCTTTGTGAAGTCCCCCGGTTTCTGTCAGGTTGACACAGAGATAGTGTTTCTTCTCATTGTTTGGTAAATTTCTATATTTCATCGCATCACCACATGTTTAAAAGGCTCTTTGAATGATCTTTTTCCCTTCGCTCGCCTCTTTGTCACTTTGATGCCTTGTTTTGTATTGACACGGGATGTCATCCATGATCGCGTATAACCTTCTCAGCAGTAGCATCACATCCTCCTTTATAGAAGACTTTGGTGTGGTCCAAATTCTACACTCAGATAAATATATTTGTATCAAAACCACCAGTGCTCTGCTGACAATTGTAAGCTAATGTTTTCAGAGATAGCAGATAGGTAGGGAAGGATGCGGCGGCCTCATGTGACCTCTGGTGTGGTTCCACGAGATAAAACGTTAAAGAAAATATGAGTTTCCTTTTCTCCGTGGCTTTGATGCTCTTGTCTTGCCTTGCTTTGTATCGACACGATACCATTCATGATCGTGTATTACCTTTGTGTACCTTACAAATACCTATTGTTCTCCCAAACATATCTTTTCTATTCTACCTGAGCTCTCAAAGTGCTTAGTTTCCTACAAATTTATTACCTCTTTCACCCAGTCACACTCACATTCATACAAGCGTTCTTTTCTATACCTTTGTCACATTTGCACACACGCTCCAATTCATCAGAAACAACTTGGGGTTAAGTATTTTGCCCAAGGATACTTCAAGATGCAGACTGGTATAGCTGGGGAATCAATCCACCGGTCTTCCAACTGGTGGATGCTGCACTTTCACACAGCTGCCCCATTGAACTGAGTCAGTGAAGCGCCTGAGTGGAGTTGGTGAGAGGAAGTGCAAATAGATTAACTCTTACATGCATCTTAGCAGAACTGTAGTGTGACAGGGGAAAAGATGCATTTGAGGGATTCATTAAAAATTGAAAAAAGTATTTTGTAACCAGTTTAGGACTCTCGTTTTCAATGCATGTGCAGGATAAGTCTTTCCTGTGAGCCATGTGTTCCTCAAAGGTTCTTTTCATGTCTCAGATTGTAGTTAAGCTTAATTTGGAACATACAGTAATGTACAGTAGACCGTAAATGACTTAAAATGTGTCCTCAGAGCACAGCTGTGGCCCTAGGCTAACAAACATTTTCACTGGCAAGAAATTCATTTCATATCATTTTTGCACTTCTCCTTTATTTTAGCTATGCAAAATATTATTTTAGCATCTGCGTAGCCTGTTACTATTATTAAACTCCAGTCGTTTTCAGGTTTGCCAGTGTGAGGATTTTCCCATTTACTCCTGTTAGGAAAGGCAAAATAAATTACCTAGAGACCTTTGGATTATGGAAAAAATGTGATGGACATTTTCCACTATTTGCTGCCATCTAACAGGCTTAAATGAATAAATAAACATGAACTCTAAATTTGCGCACTAGCTTTTATATATACACACGAATGACTCAAACACAGTCAAACCACATGCAGAACACATGGCTTTGTTTTTAAAAAAAAGTTTGTTCTTTCATTTATACTGCACATTAGGGGTCCTGTAATATTTTGGATAACTATGAAAAGTGAAATGTTTATATTACTACATGATAAATATGTGAGTTTTGGCAATTTAAAACTTTAGAAAGACACAGAAGAAGGCCTAGAATGTACCTGATTATCGATTTTAAATTGAATTCATTTGCACACACACACACACACACACACCACACACACACACACACACACACACACACACACACACACACACACACACACAC